AATTTTGTTGCCATTAGCATAGAATGTTTGACGAGACCATTGCAAGTGGCGCTCAGCCTCATCAGTCAAACAGAGATTTAGGTCTGTGCGAAGACTATCTACCTTCTGTCGAAGCTCAGCCATTGGAGACCTCTTAAACAGCACCATAACCTTTACAAGCTCATGTTCTAAAGTCAGCCAGTGTTGGTTACGTTCTTTACGCCACCTGGAAGCTAACTGTATGATATGGCCCTTAATAACCACCTTATAGGCTTCCCAAAGAGTCACAGATGAAGACACTGTACACTGATTATTTCAAAAGTAATCCAAGGGGGGAATGCGAACATCCTCAACTACAGAGGAAAAAGAGAAAAGGGAATCAATAAGATACCAGGAGGGAACTCGTGGACACTGAGACGGAACTGAACACTGCGTGACAATGGGATCATGGTCCGACTAAGGAACCGTACAAATTTTTATTGAGAGTAAATGTGGAAGAAAAGAAGGAGCTACAAAAACGTGATCAATACGAGAATGGCTAGAGTGGGGATTGGAGAAAAAAAAAGGTATAATCGCTACAGGTAAGATGTAATTCCTTCCAGGCATCGACTAGATTATCGGAATGAAGCATATGCTCAAACTCCACAGAGAACGGAAAGGAGGCCATTGAGCCCGCAGGTGATTTATCTAGTTTAGAATTAAGGACTAAATTGGAGTCACCTGACAGCATGAGATGGCCTTTCTGATGCGTCTGAAGAACCAACAAGAGGTGTGCAAAAAAAAAATTAGCTTGTCTCTGAATGGGGGAATAGTATGTACAAATTGTGACCTCCACATCTTGTAAGATCCTGGCGAATATCAAATAACGACCTTGGGGGTCCACAATTTCTTTGTGCTCTTGAAACGGCAAGGATTTGCGGATTGCCAAAAGAACCGCCCTCTTCTTAACAGGGGCTGAAGTGAAAAAAGGCCTGGGCATAACGACCATCTAAAAAGCAGGGATTATAAGAAGAGGTCAGGTGAGTCTCCTGCAGACAAACTATATTGATTTTGAAGGAACGAAGATACCTAGCAACTTTAGTCAGTTTTTGCAGTGAGTTCAAACCTTGAACATTAAGTAACAACCAAGTGAGAGTCATGACACCAGACCAAAATCATTCGACCAAGGGGGCGCCCTAAGAACGTATCCCCCCTCCCCCCAAGGCGAAGAGGAAAAAAGGAAGAGAAAAAAAGCTAAGAAAAAGGTTACCAACAAGACAGGGGGGAACCAAAAAAGAAGAGAAAGAACTCCAAAGACTGATGGGAGTGCCGTAAAAAGAAAAAAAGCAAAAGCACTCATAGAATGCCACAAAAGACAAAAGCGATGCACCTTGTGCATCTTGTGGAACCCACGGGGCACAAAAACCATACCCCACATCAGGGAACAAAAGAGGGTAGCCTGTAGCACCCCGGACACCCCCCGAACACATCAAACTATATATATAGAACCCTGAAAAGAAGAGGAAGATAGTCTCATACATGGAAACCAGGTGCATGGGCATGAAACAAGGAGACACAATAACAGAGTAACAATTACAATGTTTTGTCAAAGGGAGGCATTAAGTGAACAAGGGGTCAAACCAAAACACCCAGTCACAAACACATACAGCAAAGAATGTGCAGATGAATGCGTGGGGTAACACCTCACCTGGTAACAATAAGCGAGAGGAGTCACCCGCTCCGAAGAGCAAGCTACTCATAACAACAGAGGTAGAAGACTGACTATGCCGCCAGACCGAGACCGCAAGCCCGCCGTCTCACCTAAGGCAGCACGCCATCGGGGGGGCCAAAGGTCAACATATCCAATTGGGCACAATGGAACCATCGACATAGAGGCTCCTCAGACAGGTAAACTGACATAGCATAGCAATACAGCAACACCTGAACTGCCCTAATTGAGAACCTTGACCCGAGTGGGGAGAGAACACCCACCCACAGGAAAAAACAAACTACCACTCCCTCCCCCACACACCCCCATCTCATACACAAAAGCAAAAAGAGAGGTCCACCCAGTCCGCAAATTTTCAAAAAGAGGCACCTACCAACAGAATGTCAGGGCAGGAGCCGAGGAATGGACAGGCAGGCCTAACAATGTAACGCACTGGCTGACGACAACCACCACCCACAGACCGAAGTCCCTCAGGGCGCGGAGTCTAAGTCCCAGGCTGACCTTCACCAGGGCCCCTGATGGTGGGGATGGACTTGACGCAGCCAGGAACCAGGTCGCGGCCCCCGAGACACCTCAGCTGCGGTAATGGCCGCCGCCAATGGCGTGTAGCTGGTGAAAGAAACAAAAGAGTAGTCAGACAAGCCGGGGTCAACAACAACAGGACAAAACAGTACAGGACAGCAGACGAGAATCACAAGCCGGGTTCAGCAACAAAGGGTCAGATCAAAGGAGAATACAAAGAATAGTCAAGTCACAAGCCGAATCAGAATACCAGGAGAGTCACGAGAGTCAGAACAGAATAATAGTAACACAAAGACACAAGACACAAGTGCAAAGAGCATGTGCGGGCCACAGGCTTATATGTCATCAGCCACGCCCCTCTGGGGGGTGGACCTCAGAGACCTGAAGGCATAAAAAGGATTCCCATCATGCACAGCAGAATCCAAGATGGACGCCAGCACATGGAGTAACATAACCTCAGGGAAAAGGTAGGACCTTGACACAGCTATAGAGACCAGCGGTGGATCTGTAAGTACTGTCACGCCGGAGGGAGAGGAGGTGGAATGTCCGGGGTGAGTGGAGCTAAGCTAGTTTGCGGCCATCTTGGACAGCTCCATGCATGCGCCCCCTGTTATTTATTTTTCATCCTCAAGATGGCAATCTATCATGATCCACACTGAGCAAGTGCGGACGTCAGAGTGGATATGATGGCATCATGACGTCATTTGCATTATAACGCACGTGTGTACTGATGTCATCACATCACGCACATGGTGGGTCATTTTGGGCAGCCAGGTTATAAAAAAAAGAGAAACAAACAATAGACGCCATTTACTCACCATGTGATTTGAAATTTACTTTATTTCAGTTGCACGCTTTATTTTCTTTTTAACCTTACTTCATTCCTGACTAAGCTCTGATTTGGAGCAAAACATGTATGGTTTCTAGTCTTTGATTTTGGGAGCACTTTTTTTTCTAGGAGAACACATGGTTATTCTTCTCCTCAGATTTTTCTTTGGTAAGGAGTATTGCTCACACTTGTTGATCCCTATAGGCAGTGAGGAATTTTTTGTGGGTATTTATTTATTTATTTCAGGTACTTATATAGTGCCGTCAACTTATGCAGCGCTTTACATATATATTGTACATTCACATCAGTCCCTAACCCTCAAGGGGCATACAATCTAAGGTCCCTAACACACATTCATACATACACATACTAGGGACAATTTAGACAGGAGCCAATTAACCTACCAGCATGTCTTTGGAGTGTGGGAGGAAACTGGAGTACCCGGAGGAAACCCACACAGGAACAACATGCAAACACCAGACAGGTGGTGCCGTGGCTGGGATTCAAACCAACGACCCTAGTACCGCCAGGCGGAAGTGCTAACCATTTAGCCACTGTGCTCATATGGTATATGGGGCTCATCCATCAATGGTTCAGCTTTATTGCCACATGAATGAGTGTGCCCATATTACATATCTGTAGTAAGACAGACTGTGTGGTCTAATATATTTAGCTGGCCTTTGGTACCTAGGGATAAATACCATTGTACAGATAGATGTTCTAATTGCTACTAGGGTTTATTCTCAAATATAGTAGGCTTTGTTGTTAAATAATTGAGTTGTTACTGAAAGGCGAGCCTGCACATTGGAGGAAGAGAGAGGAGTAAAGGGAAAGTGGATCCTGCTAAAATGAGGGTTTTGACCAATTTAAGTTGCATTTGCATGGGCATTTAGCTACGGTGTGAATCCCAGTGGCAGGAATCTACTGATTCATGCTGCTGGATTTTTGTCAACATACATTATTTTTAGCTGTGTATGAATAAAAGTTATGTTTTAGGGCTTAGTGGGTTCTGTGCATTGATATATTGAAGTACAGCTCTTGCATTGATTTATCATTTGATCTGTTGGTCATATATATGATTTTATTTACAACTGAGAAAGACAAATATGTGTGACACATTTAAAGAAACAAAATGTCAAATATTATGGAAGATTATGGTTAAATAAAAAAACATAATTAGGTAAAACAGACAGAAGCATTGGACACCATAAGAGTGTGACCTCAGTAGTATATTTAAAATAAGATGATATATGCACAATCAACTGACTTATGACTTAAAAAGCAAAGATCACCTGTTCCCTCGTTTATCACAGATGTTCACATCCAAGCCATTGCTTAAAAGGTAATCAACACTTTCTAGGTTTTTTTTCCTGTAGATATGGAGATGAAAAGTAAAAGGATAGATGTTACCATTAAAATCACAATCTATCACCAAAAATAAAGCAGACTTTAATGTACAGCTTGAAAATGCAAATGCAAGGTAATTTGTCATGCACAAGAATGTAAAAGAACTATATAAATATTCAGAGATTTTCCAAAGATTGATGAGAGTGCAGATTTCTTACAAATAAATATCAAAGAAATGGTATTAGGCTTGTCACAACTTGTCCAAAGATAGCTAGGAATCAAAACCAAGGGTATTTCCTCAGACCTGTTCTTCTTTAACAAGGTTTTAAAGTAGGGCTCCGATTTCCCTCAGGTAACTTGCAAACTTCTTTTTGTTTACTATGTCAATGTTAGTGCAAAGGTTAAAGGCAAATACGTTTTTTTATTGAGTTTAAAAAGTATTGAGTATTGAGAAATAACAATATGAAACAGGTATATGAATACATAGGAAAAAATGGCCACATAAATATACATACACTATATTATCAAAAGTATTGGGACACCCTCCCAAATCATTGGATTCAGGTGTTACAATCACATCCATGGCCACAGGTGTATAAAATCAAGCATCTAGGCATGCAGACTGCTTCTACAAACATTTGTGAAAGAATGGGTCACTCTCAGGAGCTCAGTGAATTCAAGCACAGTACAGTTATAGGTTGTCACCTGTGCATTAAGTCCATCTATAAAATTGCCTTGCTACTAAATATTCCACGGTCAACTGTTAGTGGTATTATAACAACGTGGAAGCAACTGGGAAAAACAGAAACTCAGCCACGAAGTGGTAGGCCACATAAAATGATAGAGTGGGGTCAGCGCATGCTGAAGAGCACAGTGCACAAAGTAGCCAACTGTCTGCAGAGTCAATAGCTAAAGACCTCCAACTTTTTTTTCCATAACCGAGCAGCTGCATCCAAGCCTTACATTGCAAAAGTGCAATGCAAAGCTTCGGATGCCGTGGTGTAAAGCACACCGCCACTGAACTTTAAAGCAGTGGAGCCATGTTCTCTGGAGTGACGAATCACGCTTCTCTGTTTGGCAATCTTATGGACGTTTCTGGGTTTGACGGTTGCCAGGATAACGGTACTTGCCTGACTGCACTGTGCCAAGTGTAAAGTTTGGTGAGGGGGGCTATGGTGTGGGTTGTTTTTCAGGGATTGGGCTTGGCCCTTTAGTTTCAGTGAAGTTAACTCTTCAGGCATCAGCATACTAAGACATTTTGGACAATTTCATGCTCCCAACTTTTGTGGGAACAGTCTAGGGATGTCCCCTTCCTATTCCAACATGATTGCGCACCAGTGCACAAAGCAAAGTCCATAAAGACATGGATGAGTGAGTTTTGGATGGAGGAACTTGACTGGCCTGCACAGAGTCCTGACCTCAACCCGATAGGACACCTTTGGGATAAGCTAGAGTGAAGACTGCGAGCCAGGCCTTCTCGTCCGACATCAGTGCCTGACCTCAAAAATGTGCTTCTGGAAGAATGGTCAAACATTCCCATAAGCACACTCCTAAACCTTGTGGACAGCCTTCCAAGAAGAGTTGAAGCTGTTATAGCTGCAAAGGGTGGGCCAACTCAATATTGAACCCTATGGACTAGACTGGAATGCCATTAAAGTTCATGTGCGTGTAAAGGAAGATGTCCCAATACTTTTGGCAATATAGTGTATACGGAGCTATGAAAATGAAAGAATAATGGGTAGGTATCCTGATGTATTACACAGATAGGTGGTGTACCTAGTAAGGGCAGAGTAATGTGTAGTGCACAAACCCGCTATGTAAAAGGAACATGTAAAAGGCAAGAGGGACCAGTCCAGATTCAACACTTCGATATGTATCATATCAATAGGTATTACAGTACATGTGTGTGTGTATATGTGTATGTTTGTATATATATATATATATATATATATATATATAGAGTTGCAAGAAAAAGCATGTGAACCCCTTGGGATTACGTGGAGTTTTGCATGAATTGGGCATAAAATGTGCTCTGAATGTCATCTAAGTCACAACAATAGAAGAACACAGTCTGCTGAACATAATACTACACAAACATTAGATGTTGCCATGGTTTAATTGCACATAACATGTAAACATTCACAGTGCAGGGAGGAAAAAGTATGTGAACCTTTGGACTTAATAACTGGTTGACCCTCCTTTGGCAGCAATAACCTCAACCAAATGTTTCCTGTAGTTGAAGATCAGACCTGCACAACGATCTGGAGTAATTTTGGACCACTCCTCTTCACAAAACTGTTTCAGTGTAGCAATATTTTTGGGATGTCTGGTGTGAATCGCTCTCTTAAAGTCATGCCACAGCATTTCAATTGGGTTGAGGTCAGGACTCTGACTGGGCCACTCCAGAAGGCGTATTCTGTGCTGTTGCAGCCATTGTTTGGTTGAATTACTTGTATGCTTTGGGTCATTGTCCTTTTGCATCACCCATCTTCTGCGGAGCTTCAGTTAGCGGACAGATGGTCATACGTTTTCCTGCAAAATGTCTTGATAAACTCTGGAATTCATTTTCCCATCAATGACAACAATCCGTCCAGGGCCTGGGGCAGCAAAGCAGCCCCAAACCATGATGCTCCCTCCGCAATGTTTTACAATGGGGATGACATTTTGATGTTGGTGTGCTGTGCCTTTTTTTCTCCACACATAGTGTTGTGTGTTCTTCCCAAACAACTCAATCTTGGTTTCATCTGTCCACAGTATATTTTGCCAGTAGTGCTGTGGAACATCCAGGTGCTCTTTTGCAAACTTCAAACGTGCTGCAATATTCTTTTTGGACAGCAATGGCTTCCTCCGTGGTGTCCTCCCATGTACTCCATTCTTGTTTAATGTTTTCCGTATTGTAGATGTGTCATCAAAAATGTTAGCATGTGCCAGAGATTTCTGTAGGTCTTTAGCTGACACTCTGGGATTCTTCTTTACCTCATGCAGCATTCTGCGCTCTTGCAGTCACTTTTACAGGACGACCAAGCCTAGGGAGAATAGCAACAGTGCTAAACTTTCTCCATTTGTAGACAGTCTGTCTTACCGTGGACACATGAACATCAAGGCTTTTAGAGATACTTTTGGAACCCTTTCCAGCTTCATGCAAGTCAACAATTCTTGATCGTAGGTCTTCTGAGAGCTCTTTTCTGCGAGGCATGGTTCACATCAGACAGTGCTTCTTGAAACCAGTAAACCCAAAACAGGTGTGTGTTTTTTAAGGGCAGGACAGCTGTCAGCAACACATCCAATATCATTACAGTGATTGGAGTCAAGGTTGGCTCACTCCTGGCTCCAATTAGATCTGGGAGAAGTCATTAAGCTAGAGCCTCACATACTTTTTCCTCCCTGCACTGTGAATGTTTACATGTTATGTGCAGTTAAACCATGGCAACATCTAATGTTTGTGTAGTATTATGTTCAGCAGACCGTATTCTTCTATTGTTGTGACTTAGATGACGTTCAGAGCACATTTTATGCCCAATTCATGCAAAACTCCACGTAATCCCAAGGGATTCACATACTTTTCTTGCAACTGTATATATATATACATATACACACACACATACAGTAACTCGTTCATTTACTTCAGTTATTCATTGTCATAATATTTAAAGTGGAATGTAACCATGGTGGGGGTTGTCAGAATGTGCCATAATATGCACATAGGCACAGCATACAGGTATATTATGACACACCTGCCTCAGGGTCTGCTCTCTTCCAGAAATATCAGGTCTGAGCTCCCTGCAATCACTCCTTCTTTGCCAGTACCTGTTATTTTCCTATTGTTAGAGATCCGGCATCTTCTTGCTTTGCCCATTTGGCATGTACTGATGATATAACTCCCACTCTGGATTTACAATCTTGATACCTGGCTCCATTCCCACCACCTGTAAATGCTGGGAATGGTCTGGGGCTGTACACTGTGCACGTAGTAGTCAGTGTACAGATTCAAACAAATACTAGCAGGTAAGAAAAGAGTTTTTGGCAGAAATATAATTCGATTCTACCAAAACTCTACTTGCTGTCAAATTTTGTTTTTTAAGGTTTACTTCCTCTTCAAATCCTGAAGCTGTCGTACCTGGCAGACTTTTATGACTGGCAGAGGTGGGGGGAAAGGGAGAGCATAGTCGGATGCTCCTGATGAGTGCCCATCACGCCAATCACACTCTGTAGCTTAATAAATTTAGGGTGCAGTGTGATACATTTAAAAATCCTCAGCACTTCCAATTTTTTCCCCAAGGGAATTTTGGGATATTGATGTCAACAGTTTACAAGCAAACCTTATCTGCCCAGCAAATCAAGAGAGGTGGAGGCTGAGCTTGGAGGAGATCTGATGAAATCAAAGTCCTTATATGCATCTGGAATACCCAGTCAGCTTCAAATCAGGAGGTGCTAGAGAACAAATATTTTTATATTTATCTTCACAATAGAATAAATTGGTTGAACTGTTGTTTTTTGTCATTAAAAATAGGAAAGATGATAGACTTACTTTTCATCTTGATTACACACCATATCAAGTAATAGTTCAATATCTTCACCGTCTTTTAATAGAAAACCATTTGAAATCAACCTGAAAAAAAAGGGGTCATACCAATGAAAAACAGTATAAATTTGCTAGATAATTTAGATTTTACAAGATAAATAGCCATGGGTGCAAGAGACAAGCAAAGCAAATTAGTATTTATTTATGAAAACTGGAACACAATTAAATAGAGCTTTAAGTAAAGCTGTTGCCCAGAGCAACCACAAAGTTGTCATCTTTCTTTTTCCAGGAAACTGCACCAAGAAATCTAATTACTAGTGCCAGCAGCTCCATTTGGTTCCATTTTATTTTGTTTTAATTTGAATTAATTCATTTAGCCTTAATATGTAAACCATGATGGATACATAATCATAATATTTATTTTGCAGCAGCACACATTTATCATGCTTACAGAAGACTTATCACTAACCCTACAAGTCTGCATGAATAAAATGCTGGTGTGCCATAATTAAAACTGTATCTTTGATTATAAAATCAAGCAGTCATTTCTTTAAAATTGGATGCTATTGAGTAGGTATCCACCAACTGATATAAACAATTTTGTTGAATAGTCTCTGGAACACGGGAGGCCCTGTAAACGTAAAACTAGAGGGATGCCCTAGCTCCTAATTGAACTGTGTAACTTTTGTCTTTTTATTTACTAAGCAAGTCTTAAAGAAAAAAAAAAAAAGCATGAAACGCAGGTCCTCTAATGGTAAAACAAGTTAAGATGTCTTAGAACATGATTAATGAGAAAACTCTCTGTGATACTCTACAACTCTATGTCTAATGTTCTGTAAAGGTCACCCCCGTTCAAGTCAGGCAATATAGCTTAGCGTAGAGTAACCTTTAGCAATCCCCATTCCTTTAGGACAAGAAACCTAGTTTACTATTACACTGTTACCCCAAGGAATGCCATGTTCATTGGCTAGGAAGTATAGGAGGCTGAAGAAAGGAAGAACAAGAGAATTCCTGTTGTTCCAGGAGTCCAGTTGTCCACAGGGGGGGTGGCTGGGACTGGTGTCTTGCAGGAATGTAGTCAGTTGGATGTGCAGTTAGATCAGTTCAGGTGGCAAGTAGCTACATGGTCAGCAAACAGGCAAATGATTGGTCTGGGCAGCAGATAGAAACATGGTCAATAAACAGGCAAGGCTCAGTACGGGCAGCAGACAGACACAGAATGTAGTCAAATGGATGTGCAGTTAGATCAGTTCAGGTGGCAAGTAGCTACATGGTCAGCAAACAGGCAAATGATTGGTCTGGGCAGCAAACAGCAGAAACATGGTCAATAAACAGGCAAGGCTCAGTAACAGGCAGCAGACAGACAGAGTGACTGGCTTCACTATTAGCCAGCTATTGTACATGTTCACAGCAGTACAATCTCACCATAGTGGCACTGTACTTGCTCTGGTGACAGTATGTAAAAATAAAAAATGTCACAACAGCAGTAAGATATAAATTCCCTAACATCATTTAAAAA